ATTGTTGGAATACTATGTTGTATACTAAAACAGGCATTCACAAAATAAGTTAACTTTTGAATGAGAAATAATATCAAATAAATACTACTGCATTGTTGGAATACTATGTTGTATACTAAAACAGGCATTCACAAAATAAGTTAACTTTTGAATGAGAAATAATATCAAATAAATACTACTGCATTGTTGGAATACTATGTTGTATACTAAAACAGGCATTCACAAAATAAGTTAACTTTTGAATGAGAAATAATATCAAATAAATACTACTGCATTGTTGGAATACTATGTTGTATACTAAAACAGGCATTCACAAAATAAGTTAACTTTTGAATGAGAAATAATATCAAATAATTACTACTGCATTGTTGGAATATTCATCATGGTTACTAAGCAGAAGAAATGTGCGTCTCTCTGTATATATCTTTCTGTGTACACAGGCATGCAAAAGGTTGGGGAGCAGAGAAAAGAGGGGCCCTTGTCTTGGAGGTTTTCTAGTTCAACCCTCTGCCCAATGTAGGAGGTCTTAATCCATCCCAGACAAATGGTTGTCCAATCTTTACTTGAAAACCTCCAGCAATGGTGATTCCACCACTCCAAGAGGCAAACTGTTCCAATGATTAATTGTTCTCCTTGTCAGGAAATGTCTTACTTCTTGCTTGAATCTCTCTGTAATGAGTTTCCACCCGTTACTTCACCACTTGCCCTCATGTGCTTTAAAGAATAAGTTTATACTGTCTTCTGTGTGACCACCTTTTGAGTAGTTCAGAGAACCGGCAAATACCACCTCTGGCTGGTCCCAGTGGAAATTGAGATTTTGCAAAATATCCTTCCCCCAGGATTGGGGTGAGAATGGGGATTTTGCAGTATCCTTCCCCTGCCATGCCCACCAAGGCATGCCAACAGAACCGGTAGTAAAAAAAAAAAGAATTTCACCACTGGGGAGGGGATTCTTTTTTGCCTTGAACTTAACTCCAAGGAATAATTTAGAACTATTTGCTCAGAACTATTTGTTAAAGTGGTGTCTAAGCATTCTGAAAAAACACGAGACTGGAAAGACCCAAGAGAGAAAAATAACAAATTTTGAAACATACAAAAAATTGGACTCTTAAACTGGGAAGACGTGGTACTGGGAAGGCATTTTAAAATGCTGAAATCATTTACTTATAAAGCTTGTTCTGCTTTTATAATTGATTTACAACTAAAATGATGATTGCTGAGTGGCAACAATGAAATTTAAAGTGAGAGCGCCATCTGCTGACAAAAGGAAAAATTACAAGTCTGGGAATACTTATATGAAGGACTGTGAAAATATCTACTGGATTATTCCCAACTACCCATCACTACTGGAGTTTCAAATGCAAAAATAAGGAAGCTATTTAATATAAGGGACCCCTGAAAGTTACACTAGAAGATCGAACCTGTATAGAGAATGTAAAGAGGCTTTTGATAACCTCTGGGACTATTTAAATGGAATTGATTGTTTATCTATGGGATACAAAGAACTGATTAGTGCACTCCTTGAAGGGCAACTTAAGGAGTGAATAAATAGTTCTTGAACTGTTGGATGAAAATTGAGCTTTTAAAAATAAAATAAGATGCTTTATAAAGAAGAAATGAGTGGAACCTTGAAGGAGATGGTGTTACTTTTTCAAAACACAAAGGACATCCCGGAGAAAGGATATTATGGAAAAATGGAAAATACTATACGAGGAATGATGACTAAAGACCAAGACACCCAGGAAATGGAGGAGCTAACAGTAGAAAGGGAGGAAAAGACTGAACTGAAGAAACAAAGAATAAAAGAAGACAGGGAGGAGATAACCACGAAAATAAACTGATGAATTAAATCAGGGGGAAAATATTATAAGAAAGTTGAAAAGAGAATTGGAGATGCAGAAAGATAATTTCAAAAGGGAGACAGGTGGCCTGGGCAGAAATTCTGGAAACTAGACAGTGGAAGAGGGTAAAGATGGGAGAAATACTTAGATTGAACAGCCAAAAAGTAGATGTAGACAAAGACAAAGATCCAACAGAGGAATATGGCAGGCAAGTCAAAAACAGGATAGCAATTAAAGTATTGAAGTGGGCCAGAGACGATGGATAGATTTTTTTTTTTATTGTTGTTGTTCTGATTTACTTTTCTTTTTCTCTCTCTCTCTCTCCTTTCCTTTTTTAGGTAGGTGACATGATTAGAAGTTAGGTAGGATAGTTAGGTAAGTCTTTTAATAAAGGGTGACATAATTAAAAGTTAGAATAAGAGATAGAAATAAGAGAAAGGGGGAATATTAATGTATATATTTTTATATAATAAAACAAGAGCAACAACAAGAGAAAACATGGAATAATTGAATAATGACAGACTGTAACTTAATATAAATATGTATTACTATTAGGAATATATGTTGGTTGAATGTAATATTATGATTAATTTTATTAGTTTATTTGTATTAGAATGTATGATACCCAGGTGCTACACTGTTCACGCATTGTAATGTTTGTAAAAAAATAAAAAAAATAAAAAACTTTAAAAAAAATTAAAACAGACCATGTTGCTTGGATCTGCACATATACTACTATGATACATTTCAACAGCCTATGGTATTGGGAAGAACTTGATACATATGAAGGCTGGTTCCACCACAAAACCACGCTCGACTAAACCGCGCTCGACTAAACCGCGTCGCTGACGTCATCAACAGGGCGACAACAGCATGGAGACAGAAACACGCTGTAAACCCTAAACCTAAAATTAATCCCTAAACCTAAACCTAACCCCCCTAAACCTAATCCTAAACCTAACCCTAAACCTAACCCTTAACCTAACCCTAAACCTAACCCTAAAGCTAACCCTAAACCTAACCCTTACGTTAAGTTGAATCGGCTTGCTTTCAAAGCGCTATTTAAAGCGCCCTT